TTGTTTCTAATAGCTTCTTGTTACTACTAGTAAGGCACTTGTTACTAGTAGTAAGGCACTTGTTCCTAGTAGCGTCCTTGTTACTACTAGTAAGGCACCTGTTACTACTAGCGTGGCACTTGTTCGGACTCACATGGTTTTCTTCTGTTGAGGTTGAATCTGGTGACAGCGACAGCGATTTCGACCTATGAGAACGAAGCCTCGATTAATTGGGTCAGTGATGTCCACAGGAAGATGGAGTTGGACCGGGGTGTAGGCAAGAGCAACAGTTTTGGACATCAAAATCTGACCAGCAAGCTTTAGTTTGTGCCAATATGGGAGCTCAAAGAGAGCTCAAGCACATGTTGAATCGAGCATGGCGTCAGTTGTGCCCTTGCTGGCACCAGCAAAAATGTGTTGATTGAGGAGGTGCACCAATTAGATTGAGCATCGACGATAGAGAGAGAGAGAGAGGAAGAGTACAGTTCGCTTTGCTCGGTGCTGGAGCTTCAGCTTCTCTAGGCTTGGACTGTCCAGGTCTTCCGTTCCGTTGAATGCCAAAATACCCGTTGCCTCAGAAACCTGCGATGCACTTCGCTGTTTTGACTTGGTTCCTCAAAATGAGAGTCTGTTATCATCGCAGACCACAGAGGCATAGATGAGGCGCAGAATTCGCTTTGCATGTGCAGAGTCGTTATTTGAAGAGTGTTGCATGGATCACATCCGCCACGTTTCTTCAATCAAAATTGGTCACAGAACCGGACGGGTGAGTCCTATGCAGCGCTGTGTCTAATCTTGCGCTGTGTCTCGATCTCCAAAAGTACGGTCCTCCCAATCTTGTAACTTCTGAATTCTTTAGCCGGCAAAAGTCTACTAATAGGCTGAACATGGTACGTTACCACCTACTGGACGCAGGATAGCTCACGCTTCTTCAAGGAAGCTCCCCTGGCCTGAGGGCGGGAGCTTCCTTGAAGAAGCCCTCGCACTGTTCATTTGGTTCCTAGAGTTTTGGGAAACTTAACTTTAACTTCTCAGGAGCTCAAGATCACAAGGAACAAGAAAGCTTCAGCCTTTTGATGAAATGCCATGGAAAAGCTTCTTACGGATGCACTCACAGTCCTTCTCAATGTCGAAAGATGCCAACATTATTTGGGGACAATCGAATGCGATAGTCTTGCAGGAAGCAGCAGCCTCCAACAGTTTGCCTTTGTGTACAATTTGTGTCCACACGCGGTACGGCAGGAGACATGCCAATCTAGCTTTACACATGATTTGTTTCTGCAAGAGATTGCAGGGCCACACTCAAAGGTCTTAGGTTTGACACCAACTTCTTCCTCTAACCAACAAGAATGTGTGATCTAAGAAACTTGAGTTCCCAAAAAAGTATCGAAACCAAACTACTCAGAGGGTGTGTTCATGCGTTACCCACTTCTTAGCTGCTTCGGCTTAAGCTACCAACTCTAACCAGCCTACCCCCCCTTAGTACTTTACTTGATCAAAATTATGTTTTGAATGCTCTACCAGTTTCAAAGATAATCATTTTACTAGTAACAAGAAGCTACTAGGTGGAGGCCATCGCTATTAGGTTGGAGGCCGTCGCTACTAGGAACAAGAAGCTACTAGTAGCTCCTGGCCTTACTACTAGGAGCAAGGTTGCTACCAGGAGCGCTCCTGGCCGTACTACTAGGAACAAGAAGCTACTAGGAACAAAGGGCATCGCTACTACGAGCAAGAAGCTACTAGTAGCTCCTGGCCTTACTACTAGGAGCAAGGACGCTACTAGTAGCTCCTAGCCTTACTACTAGGAGCAAGGACGCTACTAGGAGCGCTCCTGGCCTTACTACTAGGAGCAAGGACGCTACTAGGAGCGCTCCTGGCCTTACTACTAGGAGCAAGGACGCTACTAGGGGCTCCTGGCCGCACTACTAGGAGCAAGGACGCTACTAGGGGCTCCTGGCCGTACTACTAGGAACAAGGACGCCACTAAGGGCTCCTGGCCTTACAGCAAGGACGCTACTAGTAGCTCCAAGCCATACTACTAGGAGCAAGGACGCTACTAGGAGCGCTCCTGGCCTTACTACTAGGAGCAAGGACGCTACTAGGAGCGCTCCTAGCCTCACTACTAGGAGCAAGGACGCTACAAGGAGCGCTCCTGGCCTTACTACTAAGAGCAAGGGCGCTACTAGGAGCGCTCCTGGCCTTACTACTAGGAGCAAGGAGAGCGCTCCTGGCCTCACTACTAGGAGCAAGGACGCTACTAGGGGTTCCTGGCCTTACTACCAGGAACAAGAAGCTACTAGGGGCTCCTGGCATCGCTACTACGAGCAAGAAGCTACTAGTAGCTCCTGGCCTCACTATTAGGAGCAAGGACGCTACCAGGAGCGCTCCTGGCCGTACTACTCGGAACAAGAAGCTAGATTGCAATCTAATTCTAACTTTATTTAGTTCTAATTTAGTCTAATGATGTAATTTAACTCTAATTTGATTCGAGTTCAATTTTTACATATTTTTTAAAGTTATTTTACTCTAACTCAATTCTAGTTTATTGTAATTTAATTCTATTCTAATTTAGTTCTATTCTAATTTAACTCAATTCTAATTTAATTTAGTTCTAATGTAGTTCTAATTTAGCTTTATTCTATTTTTTTATATAACTTATTGTTTCTAATTCTAATTTAGTTTTTTCTAATTTAATTTAACTCAATTTATTTTAACTCTAATTCAAATCTATTTAATTTATTTCTAACGTAATCTAATCTAATTTATTTCTAATTTAATCCAATTCAAATTCAATTTAATTCCAATTCAATTCAAGATTCGTTTCTCAAGATTCGGGGCCTGAGATCCGAGACGTGGCCCTTAGGGTGCTCCGCACCGCAGACTTGGGTGCGGAGCACGGTGCGGGGAATCTGCACGGTGCGGATGTTGAGCTCGGTCGTTAGCGCCTTGGCTGTTGCTCTTGGCTTTAAATGGCCTCCACCCAAGCAGCGATGGCCTCCTATACATTATATATGCATAGATTACAGTATATCTATCTACATACGTGTTTTTTTGTTGTACTTTGGTTTGTTATTTGTTGCATCGGATGTCTCTTCTTGTGGCGTGGCCAAAAGCAAGTCCGACCTATAATGGGACGACGGCGACTTTCGTGAGCCTCAGCTGCAAGTCAGAGGGAGTTTCTTACTGATCTTTCCAGATTCTTTTTTGCAAGCAAACAAAGAGAGGTGATTGATCACCTGTCCATGTCACACGAAATTGAACGTTCTGACTCCTTCGTCTGCATCTCGCACTGCAGGAATGTCAGAATGTGTCCGCCTCGAACCTGAGCTCCCAGCACAGGTGGGCCAAGGAAACAGATGTTGTGCTAGGAGCAGCCTAGAGTGTTGAGCTTCGATGTTAAATTTTGGTCCCTGTCAAGATCACTGTGAAGTCGGCGCAGGTGATGTACAGTGCACGTGAGCTAGCACCTTCCATCATGATTGAGTCATGCTCAAATTAGATAGCCAGAGATGGCCAAAGATGAGACCGAGTCGGGATCAGCCAGGAAATGCTGGCTAGCCAACCACTTTGTACCCAAGCACGCCAGTCTATTTCATTGCCAGCTTGGCATCTCTCCGATCTCGGCAAGTAACTACTCCTGAGGGCCTGACGGCAAGGCCGTGGGTTCTAAGACGAGCCACGGCAACCTCCCATGAAAAGACACTAGAAAGATTCATCATCGTGATCATAGGCATCCCACTCTGGACTAGTCTTCAAAAAAGCACTTGTGTTTGGGTCCACTTGCGTTTTGTTGATGCGCACATTCGTTGTGCAATGTGCTGCTGTGGCACACAACCTTACGAGGGAATTGGCGGTAGCATGGCACCACTGGGTTCAACTCGATGGATGCCTTGAAACATTCTTGCGATCCTTTAAAAAAATATGTATATCAATGCACTATCGCTGGAAATGGGTGGTTTGCAGACTATGGGAATTCCAGAGTGCATTCTGAAAAGGCTATCCTATTTGCTTCGTGTATTTCTTTGTAGTCTACAACTCTGTGCGCTTTTCTAATGGAGTGAAACTCATTAGGTTTGCAGTCCAACCACTCAATTATCCGAGTAATTTTGAAAGCTCAGAGCCCTGTGCCTCAGTCACATCGCCAAAACAAGCAAGAATGATAAGTTATGGAAAAATTCAAAAATCTATTCACTCGTATGATTGAAATATTCACTGCTTGAAACGTGTCTTTGTCGTGACAGGAACTGTCTTTGTCTTGACCTGAGACCAGGGTCGGGGCTAATGAGCCCTGTGACAGCCTGCACTCGAAAGAGAGAAGAGTCGACAAGTTCGCTGCAGTCTGCTCAGCTGGGATGGCTGAGGGCGAGGAAATGCCTAGGGCATTTGCCAATGCAAGGCCAAATGTGGTCGGCCATTGGCTGCAAGTCTCCCCGCCAGGGGTATCAAAAATGTGCGCAGAAACCGAGAAGGAGACATCAAACCGGAAGAAGGAAGGGAGATTGAAGGAAGGCGATGGTATTTTGAGTTTGGTTTGGCGTGACATTCATGCATCCACCCTTGCTGTCAAAATTCAAGCACAGCTCATGCAAAAGAAGAGGTGCAAGGAGTGAGTAAGCTTGCAGCAAGCAAATGCAAGTAGGCTTTCAGTGGTCTCGAAATGGAAGCACAAGTGCAACAAGCTGGATTGCCAATGATGTTTTGGCGGTGACAATGTCGAGGCATTAAATTAAAATAATAGCTTCTTGTTACTACTAGTAAGGCACCTGTTACTACTAGCGTGGCACCTGTTACTAGTAAGCACGATACAGTTTGCTTTCACCATGTCGAGGCCAAAGCCCAACATCCTGGTGACGGGTACACCAGGTGTCGGCAAGACCACTTTCTGCGAGGCAAGACGATGTAACGTAGGAGTGATGGCCTCCAACCTAAGAGCGATGGCCTCAAACCTAACGTAAAACCTTTTGCAGTGTCAGGCCCTTGCAGCTGCATCGAGTCTGGAACATTTAGAGGCACCAAGCTTAGAACCATAACAGTACAAACGGTAACGGGAGCAAGGACGCTGCTAGGGGCTCCTGGCCATACTACTAGTAACAAGAAGCTACTAGGAGCA